TGTCTTTAAACAAAACCAAACAAAAAGCCTGAGCAATCCACACCTCCCATAACCTCCCTGAGGCACCGGCCAGAGTCTGTGCCTGGCGGGGCACCCTGCAGACTGCAGATCTCAAAAGGGCCCCCTTCCAGACCAGCTGATGGAGACAGCCCTTCTCTGAAGATCCACCAGGGTCTTGGATGCACACCCATCATCATGGGTGTAGGAGGTCTGGCTCTGAAAGTCCCCTCCAGGTTTGTGTCTTGAATGCTTGCTCCCCTGGCTTGTGAAGTTTCAGAGGGAAGTATGAGAGTCCCTTAAACACTCTTATTGGGGCCACTCAATATATTGAATGTGTGATTTAAGAATGTGTGCTTCTGGTGAGCTGGGGCAGAGGACTCAGCCATGATTAACGAGAAATCAGCCCCACTGAGGATTGTAAATTTGGATTATTTCCTCAAGTCAGCACACAGAAGCTATCTACAGGCAGCTAAGGCTGCATCTCATGCTGGCGGCCAAATTTGGTAACGTGTAAGCGTTTCTGAAGCATGAAAGGGTCATGGAGAGCAGCTGAGGCTTGGCACCATGTAGCAGGGTCGGGCTCCCAGCATAGAGCCTGGGAGAGGCTATTGGAGGTGCAACCCTGCAGCAAAGACCTGACATCTTGGAGATGCCAGCACCGTGGAACCACCACCACGGACAGCAGCAGCTGAGGCGCGGAGCTGGCCAGAGCCTAGGAGACAAGCTGTTGCCTGTCGCAGAGGGCAGAGCTGACGAGCGCCCTGGGTCCTTTGGAGCCCAGAGGCTCGTGAGTGGGTCCCCAGGGGTCGAGCACTGAACTCCTCACGCTTTGGCTTTGCTTTGATTTCGTCACAATTGTGCTCTGGCTCTACTCTCTGGGGAGTAAGAAAGTATTTAACTTGTTTTGATTTTCTAGGGGCCCACAGTGTTTTAGAGACTTTGGAATTTTACAGACACTTTGGAAATTTTAGAGGTTTGGGGTATTTTAGAGAGGCTTTGAACTTTGAAGGAGACTTTGAATGCTTTTTTGTCTTGTTTTTCTAATTTTTAAAGGCTTTTATTGTTTTGTGTGTACAAGTGTTTTGCCTGCAAGTATGGTTGTGTGCCACATGCATGTCTGGTGTCCTGAGGTCAGAAGAGGGCATTGGATCCCCTGGGACTGGAGTTAAGAGATGGTTGTGAACCAACACATGGATGCTGGGAATTGACTCCAGCTCCTCTGTAAAAATAAGTGCCCTTAACTCCTGAGCTAAATCTCAGCTCAACTTTGTATGTTTTAGAGACGTAACCTTTGAACCTTTAAAGGATGTGGGACTTCTTAAAAGTTGAAATGTTTTATATTACGGTATTAACATGCCATCTTGGGGACAAATGAGAAAGGAAAGGTTCTAGTTGAATAGTGATATGCTTGTGTGTCAGGGTGATAAGGGGTCAGTTATGCTAGCTAGTTTTGTCAACTTGACACAAGTGTTATTTGGGAAGGGAAACACTCAGCTGAGAAAAATGACTCTGTAAGACTGGCCTGTAGGCAAGTTTGGGGGCATTTTCTTAATTGATGATTGATGTGGAAGGGCCCAGCCCACTGTGGGTGTTGCCATGGCTGGGCAGTTGGTCCTAGGGTGTATAAGAAAACAAAATGAGCAAGGCAGTAAGCAACACTCCTCAATGGCCTCTGCATCAGTTCCTGCCCTAGGTAAGTGCCCTGCAGCCTGGCACGCCTGTGAGAGATGTTTCCTTTTTTCTTTCTTTTTCCTTTTGTTTTTTCAAGACAAGGTTTCTGTGTGGCCCTGGCCATCCTGGAACTCTGTGTAGACCAGGCTGGCCCCAAACTCAGAGATCTGCCTGCCTCTGCCTCCTGAGTGCTGGGATTAAAGGTGTAGGGCACTACTGCCAGGCAGGATTTTTCTTGATTCATCATCTGAGGTTGGAAGACCCATTCTCAATCTGGGCTACACTTCCTTGTGGCAGCCTGTCTAAGGGACACAGAAGGAAGCCTTCGTTTTTTGCCTGCTTGCCCTCATTCTCCCTGACATACTCAGCTATCTTGCAGCTGAGACATCCAGCCTCGGGGACTGAACAACTATTGGGTCCTTGGACTTGCCCTCCGGAGGCAGCCATTGCCGGACTGGGCTGGAGCTTAGCCTGTAAAAGCCACTGTTCTTCCAGAGAACACTGACTATAGAAGGTTCCTGCCTGAAGTTCCTACCCTGACTCCTGGAAGATGGGCTACAAGCTGTAAGATGAAATAACCCTTTCCTCTCCAAGCTGGTTTTGGCTATGGTGTTGTATAAACACTCAGACAGCAGTATTTTAGGTTTTGTAGCAAAACAGTCACGCAGATCTCCAAGTACTCAGGGAAAACAGCCACAGTGTATGGCATGTTCAAATTAAAATAACATACATTCTATTTTTAATTGTGTGTGTGTGTGTGTGTGTGTGTGTGTGTGTGTGTAGCAAAATACAGGCACTCAGAGGTCAGAAAGCAAGTGTTGGATCCCTGGTTGTGAGCTACCTGATGTGGGTGCTGGGAAGTCCACCTAAGGCTATGGAGTGAGACCTTTTCTCAACCAAGCCAAACCAAACCAAAACACCATTCTTTTATTATTATTATTGTTTTTTCTTCAATTTTTTTTTTTTAAAGACAGGGTTTGAAAAACCTGTGTAGTCCTGGCTGTTGGGGGAAACTGCTTTATAGACCAGGCTAGCTTTGAACTCCTAATCCTCCAGAGTGCTGGGATTTAGGTGTGCGTCACTATATCCAGCCAGTTATGTACATATACAATAAATATTGTATATCAAAGGCAAAAGTCAGAAGCAACTGTATTCTACTTCTTTCTACGGTTTACTTTTGTGTATACTTGTGTGTCTGTGTACCAGTATGTACACGTATGTAGGTGCCCTCGAAGGCCAGACAAGGACATCAGATTGCCTGGAATGGAGCCACCCAATGTGACTAAACACACACTCCTAACTGCTGTGCCCTCTCTCCAGCCCCAGCTACAGCCTATTTTTTTAAATGTTGCTTACTCAATATCCTTTTTTTTTTTTTTTTTTTTTTTGGTTTTTCGAGACAGGGTTTCTCTGTGTAGCTTTGCGCCTTTCCTGGAACTCGCTTTGGAGACCAGGCTGGCCTCGAACTCACAGAGATCCGCCTGGCTCTGCCTCCCGAGTGCTGGGATTAAAGGCGTGCGTCACCACCGCCCGGCTCAATATCCTTCTTAAATGACTACGGGAATGTGACCAGTAACTGTGGGGCTAATTCTCACCCCCCAATTCTTCGATTTATGTCCCACTGGCGTTTAGGGGCAAAGCTCGCAGGTGAAAAGTGTGAGTGAGAAGCTATGGATGTTAAGTCTGGCCCCGCCTGTGGGCCTACCTTCAAGAAAGGTGCTGTCCTTGTGCACACATGATCTCTAGCCGTGGAGTAAAGGACTCACCTTTCCAGTGTTCTTCAGAGGGCACAGTCTACCCCGAGCAACAAATACGCAACACCCCCCCCCCCCAATGAAACCTGTGCCATTGACCACAACTCATGTCCACGAGCCAGCGACAACTTCAGGATTCCTGACTATGCTGGAAGGAAGAAGGACCGCTTAGAGTTAACAGCTTAAGACCCAGCAGCAAGTTTTTCTGGACACAGAGTACTAACTACGGTGGGGAAGTAACCCTAAAAAGTAAGTTCTCTCCAGACGATGTCTGGCTGGCCGTCTGTGAGCGAGGGACACAGAACTGCCAGGTCTCCTGGCAAAGGCTCAAGGTGGCCAAAACCAGACAACAGGCCAGTCGGAAACAGACCACTAGGCCTCTCCCTGCAGCTGGGGTCCTCGGAGAGAGGTCTGCCAACTCCCCCCTCTCCCCCGCGGGTGCGAGGAGAGCCAGCTGCAGATCCCTCTGCTCAGGAGGAAGGACTGGGGGGAGGACAGCTTCCTGTCCCTTGCCCATCACATCATAAGCACCAAGAAAAGGTAAACAGGGGGTTTCTTCCCTACAAATACTGAAATGTCATCGGGGATGGAGTAAGAGAAAAGGAGAAGTCGGAAGGTGCGGTGAAGACACCGAGAACCTGCTGGAACACAGCATGCAGGCATAGTTCCCTTCTACTGAAAACCCTGCTTTGAAAGCTCCCCCCCCCACCGCCCTGGGGGTGGGGAGGTGGGGGGGCTGGGTGTGCAACCCAGTTACTCATGCTACAGAGGCAAGAGGCTCAGTGCTATCTAGCACTCAAGTTCAAAGATAGCCCGGGGTACCTGAGCCTTGTCTTTCTTCTTTTTGAGACAAGGTCTCTCTATGTAGCCCTAGCTGTCCTGGAACTCGCTATGTAGACCAGGCTGGCCCTGCTTCGGCTCTGAGTGCTGTGATTATAGGCATGCCCCACTCCTCCCGGTGCTGAGATGTTGTCTTAACCAACAATTAAACAGACAGAAACCAGGATGTGGATGTGGCTCCGTGGGTAAAGCGCTTATTGAACACACACCAAGCCCCTTGCTGGGTCCTCGCACCACATGAACCAGGCATGCATGGGACAGCACACCTGTGATCCCAGGCATTGGAAGGTGGAGGCGGAGAGAGAGCTGAGGTCAGCCTGGGTTACACGACACTCCATCTCAAAAATCTAGGGAGCAGCTCCCCTGCCCCCCAATTCTGGCTGTGGTGTCCCTGCAAGAGGCCCAGTAGTCAGCTTGGGTGTTTCTCTACTCCAAAGCACATGGGATTACCATCCTTTCCCCAAACCAAAGAAGAAATTGGGAGATGAGCTTGGCTTCAGGTCCCACTGGTCGCCGAGGCTGGAGGCAGATCTGCCAGGCGGGTCTGGAGGATCTGGACACAGCTCCAGGCTCTGAGGCCCTCCGCATCGCCCTTCCTTGGAGCGCAGGGCCCACCCCCACCCCCACCCCCAGTCCTCACTCTCAGAGCACTGCCACCCGGCTGCACGGCACACCTGTGTCCAGCAGAGGTGCGGCTGCCTCAGAGACAGCGCGGAAAGAAACACAGCACACGGGTGTAATCAATGTCTTTTATCTTTGAAAATGGAAGCGAGTGTTTGACAGAGCACTACGGCCACTCTATAAGAGCGGACCCGGGAGCAGTTTACTGCCCTCTGGTGTCACAGCTTTAAGAAGACGGCGACGAAACAGGGGAAAGGAATCCACCACGAGGTGCCCAGCGCTGACTCCGAGCCTGGCACACACTGTGGTCCCTGGCTTCTCCTTGCTCCTTCCTCTCTCTGAACCACCTTCCCTCTGGCGCTTCATCACCAGCGCCAACAACTGCTACGTAATTAATTCGACCAGACTCCAGAGCATTTCTGAATCTCGAAACAAAGGTCCCCAGCAGAACACACTGGTACACAGTGCCGGTGTGTCTGTAAGTCACTAATGTCTTCTTTACATCTCATTATCCACTTCGACATTAAAAACACAGGACACACACACAAACCACAAAGGTTCAGATGCCCTGGAGCTGTGGAGAGAGCAACCCTGTGTGGGTGGCTGAGAGCCTTTTCTTACCACAGTGCCCAGTCAGTCCATACTCTAAGCAGCTGCCACCACGCTCTGCCTGTCCTGATACCCTGTGGATCTGCCTGCAGCCAGCACTGTGCCCACACCAGCACGAACACATGCCAAGGCCTGCCTTCCACGATCCCTAGGACACTATCTGGTCGTCTGCCTTCACAAACATGCAGCACAAGGATGTGAAACTGGAGCTGAGCTCCAGCTGCCCTGGGAGGCAGGTACGGTTCAGCCTGTCTTCTGTAGGTCCAGGGAACTGCTGTGCCACACACAGCCATGGTCAATGCTGGGGAACAGTAGCTGATTTGTGTGGCACAGTGGACCGTGCCTGTGCATGGCGAGCTCCAGCCTGTCTCTATACCCCCTTTCTACTTTCTTCTGGACTTTTCCCTCACCTCAATGTTCCAGAGCCCTTAGATCACACCCTGTGGACTGACTGGGCCTGACAGGCAGTAGACAGACAGGACTGGCTAGGCGCCTGGGAAGAGGAGGCAGCAGAAAGAGGAGCAGAGGACGCAGAGGACGGCCAGGCAGAGGCTCTGCTCACAGCTCCTGGGTTCAAGCCCCACACCACACCCAGAGGCCAAGAAAGCTGCTTGGAGGGACAAGAACACTCAACACCTCTGCATCCTCTGGTCTTGGGTGCTCTTGTCCAATATGGACCGGAACCGAACCAAAATGCTGGAGGGGATGGACGCGACAGAGTCTGCGTGGAACAAAACTGCAGAAATGCATGCTAGTTTGGGTTAGATTATAATCACGTGACGCATCAAGGAGCTAAATCCATCCAAACAACCACCCACTCCTAGTGGGGGAGAGAGGGGGATGAGAGCTGTTTGATCGCAGACTCAAGGGGATGGAGGGTGGCGCGTGGGTCCTCAAGTTGTCCTGATGGACAGTCATTAGATGACCAGATCTGTGCTGCGAATGAGCCAGCACCGTGTAGCTACACCAATTGTTCCTGTGAGACTTTATACAAAATAATCATCTCATCTTCCTTGAGTTTATAAACATACACAGTGCTGTCCCTTTCAAATTAAGGAGGAAGAGAACCCAAAAGAACCAACCACACAAATACTGCAAAGTAGCAAAATACAAAGAAAAAAAAGCTACTTTTGGTTTTGGCAACATTCAAAAGGAAGAAATACACAGAGTGAAGGTGGCATTGGCCCCACTCATCAAAAGGTGTGTGGGCAGGACACTGGGTTGGGGTGGGTTTGTTTCTAAAATTCAGAATACCTGGCATTTTAATGTAGTAAATTCAACAAGTCCCTGGGCCTGTCAAACACCAACCAGCTTCCTGATAAAAGCTCCGCTTTCATTTTTCGCCAATTTGGGAGAGGGACTGCGTCCCTGCTGGAGTGCCGCCTGCTGCTGGCTGACGGATCTGAAGTGGGATGTCTCCAATGGCAGTGCCTCCCTGTCTGCCCTCCCGCGGAGCACGCCAATGAGCAGCTGCCCTCTGTGGAGGTGGGCGGGCCTCAGGCCACCATCTTCGCCAGCTGCTGCTCTAACTTGGAAATGCGCTCGTCTTGACTGCAGATTGTGTCTTTTATGGATTTGATCTCTTTTAAAATCTCATCCAACTTGGCTTCATTTTGCTAAGAAAACAAACAGAAAAAGGTGACTGAGAGCATTAATGAAGTCTAACCGTGCAGAAGAGGACACTTAGCCCGGCATTCCTCCTCTGGGACCAGCAAACCCCAACCCAACCAGGACAGCAGGGCTTCCTGAGACAGATGAGAGATCACAAGGAAAGCGCAGCCTCAGCGTGGCTCATCTGGGTGGACAAAGCCTCCAAACCACAGAGCACCTACAGCCCTACGCCCCCCCCCCCCCCCCCCCCCCCCCCCCCCCCCCCCCCCCCACACACACACAGTGAGCTTACTCAGTGGGAACCGTATGGCTCCAATCCTGGTGCTGGCTTCCTGTCAGGGCCCAGAACACTAACCCCACCAGTGCTGCAGGCACTCTGGTCCCCGTGGCTCCCCACGCTCCTCCCCTGTCCTTTCCTGTGGTGCCAGTGCCCTCTGGTGGTAGGCTGGGCTGCCCCCAACCCCGTGGCTCTAGCCCCACAGGCACTACAACACTATACAACACCCACAGGCACTATTTCCCCCACCTGCAGGGAAACTCACTTCCTGGTTCCTGTGACCCTCAACTCCCATGATGCTTCACCAGGGAAAGACAGGAAAACCCAGCAGGGATCCTGTCCACTCTCAAGACAGCACAGTAAGCCATTTCAAAGCCAGTGCTGGCTAGGTGAGCAGACCAGAGAGTCACCAATCCCCGGCACTGCCCTGGACCAGGGAGCTTTCCGGAGGACACAGGCCAAGCCCGGCCCCAAGCACACGCTCCTTACCACACTGGCCGTGTCTGTGATCTTCTTGGGAGCACTGATGAGGTCGCCCTTCTTGTTTGCGGCCGGCTTGCTGTCCAGAATGTTCTTCTTGACCACCTTGAGGTCCCTGTTCTTGCCTGGAATGTACCCATGCTTCAAGGAGATGAGGATCGGGTCGGCGTTCTTGCCCTCGAACCACTCCTCTGCTTCCAGTGCGGCCTCCGGCCCCGCCGTGTCAGGGTACAGGTCATCTTGGAAGAGGTCGGACTGCGACAGGCATTTGGGCAGCATCGGTAAGCGGGAGAGGCTGGGGTTCTCCGGAGCTGCTCGTCTTTGTGCAGTGCTGAGGACTAAGTCCCGTGTGCATGTGTGCATGTGTGCACGTGTGCATGTGTGCGGGGCAAGTGCTCCACCACGAGCTGTGTGTCTCACCCTTGACTTACTCTCCTGCCGTGTGGAGAGCAGGGATCACAGGCATGTGCCATCACACTGATCTGAGTTTTCTTTTGAAACACGAGTTACTTAAAAACTGGGTACCCGGAGCTGGAGAGACTGATGGTGTGCTGACTAGTTTTATGTCGTTTTGGAAGAGGGAACCCCAACTGTGAAACACCCCCACCAGACCACCCTGTGGGCAAGCCTACATACAGTGCGTTTTCTCAGTCGACAGTTCATGTGGGAGGGCACACCCACTGTGAGTGGAGCCACCCTGGGCAGGTGGCCCTGAGTGCTGTAAGAAAGCGGACTGAGCAAGTCACAGAGCAGACCAGCGAGCAGTGCTTCTCCATGGATACTGCATCAATTCCTGCTCCAGGCTCTTACCCCATACACACTCGAGAGTTATAAATGTAAATAAAAGCTTTCTTCTTCCTCAAGCTGTTTACAGTCACGATGTTTTATCCGCAACTGTGATGGGTGGCTCAGTGGTTGCGGGGGACCTAGGCCTGATTGCCAGTACCCACCCGGCACTGGAGTTCCAGGGGCTCTGACAGCGTCTTCTGATCTCAGGATCAGGCAAGCACACAGACGGTGCAGACACACACGCAGGTAAAACACCCACAACCAACCCCAGCCCGGACACTTACCTTCCTGGGGACAGTCATGATGATAGGCTCACACTTCCTCTCGTGAAGCTTGAAGAACCTTCAGAGGAGAAACAAGGCAAAGCTGCAGTGGGTGACATGTGAGTGACACTCACAGACTACCCTCTGCGGTGCTCCACGGCATCTGAGCCCCACGTCACTGACCACCGCATCTGCTGCCCAGGCCCAAGCATGGCTGTGTGCTGCTGCACAGGAGGAAACAGACTGAGCGCACCCGTGCAGCTGGAGATGGCAGGTGTGGGAGGCCTGGGAGATGTGGCCGCAGCAGTGCCAAGTGTCAGGTGCTGGTGGACCGCACGGCCACGCCACGGTGACTCACCACGTCCTCAGACACGAGAGCACAGACTCACAGGAGGCAGCACCTGTGCCCTGGGTGTTGAGTCTTCTGCCAGTACGAGGTACTGGACACGTGACACACGACCAGAACTTTTTTCTTTGGGTTCTCATGTGTGTGTCTTGTGTTTCTACACACATGGCACACGTGCTGGTGTGTAGAACTGCACACTGGGGACAACTGCTGGTGCTAGTCTGCAGGCACCTTCCCCTTGTCACTTTCACAGTTCACTGTTACTTCTGCGTGTGTTAGTATGTGGGTGCGCGTGCACGGCACACATGTGCAGGTCAGAGGACAACTATGGAGCCGGCTCCCTCTTCCACTTCACAGTTCTTAGGATCACTCTCGGGCTGGCAGGCCATGTGGCGAGTGTCTTCACCCACTGAGCTTGCTGCTGGCCCTGCCTTCTCACACTGGCCCGGACACTGCCACAGGCCAGCTTAGCTGACTCTGGAGCTTCCTTCCAGGGTCTGTGTCCTCCCACTCCGTTTCATTATTGCTGGGATTACAGGTGTGCACCGCAGGCATAAACATGGATTCTGGAGACATGAGCTCAACTTATGCTCAAGAGACCAGAGCTTTAGCAACTGCACGTGCTGTGGAACAATCCTTTTCCACACTATAAATATGTATTACTCCCATTGGTTAGTAAAAAGGTGACAGGCTGGGCGGTGGTGGCGCACACCTTTAACCCCAGCACTTGGGAGGCAGAGGCAGGCAGATCTCAGTGAGTTCAAGTCCAGCCTGGTCTACAAAGTGAGTTTCAGGACAGTCAGGACTGTTACACAGAAAAACTCTGTTTTAAAAACCAAACCAACCAAACAAACAAACAGAATTAAGAAAATAAGTAAATAAATAAGTGAGAAGCTGGCAGGCCGGAAGCTGGGCAGGAAAGAAAAAACTAAGAATGGTGGGGAGACGGAGGCAGAGTGAGAGGAGACACCAGCCAGCCGCCCAGGAAGCAAGATGTGCTAGAGGACAGATGAAGCCACAAGCCACGTGGTAACACATAGATGAATAGAAATGGGTTTAAGTTGTAAGAACTAGTTAGTAACAAGCCTGAGCTATTGGCTGAGCATTTATAATTCATATTCAGCCCAAGTTGGTTATTCAGCCCAGGTGGTCAAGACAGGATTCAGATCAGATTACAACCATCTACTTTTTTGGTCTGTTTTGTTTTTGTTTTTGAGACAGGGTTTCTCTGTGTAGCCCTGGCTATCCTGAACTTGCTCTGTAGACCAGGCTGGCCTCAGACTCAGAGATCTACTTGACTCTGTCTCCCAAGTGCTGGGATTAAAGGCATGCACCACCACTGCCCAGCATACTGTAACTTTTAAAAAAGAAGCCAGACACAATGGTGCAGGTCTGTAACCCTAGCACTTGGGAGATGAAGGCACAAGGCTCTTACCCACCTGCCACCAGGAAACATGGCCCACAGCAAGGACAGGTTACAAGCTATAATCAACTCCAAACACCCCAAGGTAGTCTTGGAGTCGGCCTGCTCTGTCATGAACAACCGGACACTTAGGGTTCAATTCTTTACCTAGCGATCTCACATTTGTTGACATCAAGTCCCCGCTTCGACATGTAGCCCATCCCTCGCTGAGGCTCCTTGCTGCTGAATGTGTTGAGGTAGTGGACATATGGGGATTCGTCCGTGATTTCAAAATAGCGGATACTGCTGTCACCCTACAAGAAACATTTTGTTTAAGAGGGTGGTACCCCACACCACCCCAGAATTCATGGGAGTCTAATTTCAGTAGCTGACCACTGCTCTCTCCAAAGACATTTGCCTAAAATAGAAAACAGGTGTCTCCCCACCAAGATAAGTCCTTCCTACTTAGAATCCTCTAGCATGTCCTTTAGGAGGCTCCTCTTCTGGGCCTTTAAGGCATGTCAGGTCAAAAATGTCACTGGCCCACACAACTGCCCTGAGTATAAGCTTCAAAGTCAAGCGAGCAGAGGACGTGGCTGAGAACACAACTGCCTGTCTGTGTGTTCACTCCCTGGCCAGGGCAACAACTGACAACCCGAGGATGATCAAAGGGGGTCTCTCTAGAAGAGACCTGGACAGCACCAAAGGCTCTCCTCGTAGTGTGTGAAACCCCACGGTCATCTCGTTTAGAGAGGTCAGCTATTTTTTGGCAAGCTACCCAAGGCAGGTGCTAGCTAGGCTAAGAATAAGTGAGTTATGCCAGTGTGACCAATGACTACAACCTGGTCTGAAAGGGAACGTGCGCACGTGCACACACACACACGTGCATGCACGCACGCACACACACACGTACACACACACACGCGCGCACACACACACACACACACACACACACCAGTTAAAAACATTTAAATAATACATTAGTCACACACACACACACACACACACACATGCACAAACCAGTTAAAAACATTTAAATAATACATTAGTCACACACACACACACACACACACACACACACACACACACGTTAAAAACATTTAAATAATACATTAGTCACACTGTCTGGCTTCCAGGTCTCTGGAGGATGAGCCCTGCCTCTTCTAGGGTTGATGTCACGTCAGGCACCCGCTCCCACTTACCTTCCCGCACAAGTAAATGATACTGGTGTCTGGGTCGTAGAAAGGCAGCAGCACCCCATTGCTAGTGTCCATCTCATGAAGAGCGATTGGCTCCTGCATGTTTTTCTGAAAATAAGTCCAAAAGCAATATAGACATGCGTAGGCACGTGTTTAAAAGACAAATTCTCATAACCTTATTATACATTCTTTGACATAATCCATTTTCCCAGCAGAATCTCGAGTCTGACCAACACAGGCATACCCTCACACACGTGACACCAGGGACCAAACTCCCGACAAGCGTGTTGACTGACCACCCCTCACACACGTGACACCAGGGACCAAACCCCCGACAAGCGTGTTGACTGACCACGCACAGTCAACGCACTCAGCACGGCTCCTTTGCGGCTGTTCTCTAAGAAGATTCTTGTTTTTAAAGGCCAACCTGGTCTACACAGCGAGTTCCAGGCCAGCCAGGGCCATGTGGTGAGCCCCTGTGCATGAGTGCAGTTGCCTACTGGGGCCAGAAGAGGGCACCAGAGCCCCCGGAACTGGAGGTGTGAGCACAGGCGCAGGTGCTGCAGTCAGCAAATGCTCCTGCTGCCCCGAGCCATCTGTCCAGCCACTACTTCCTGAAGGGTGCACAGATCTAGAAAAGCGAAGACCAGAGAAGCCACCCTGCATCCTACAGCCCTGCTGCCACCGTGGCCGACCTCCTTCGCACATTCAGTGTTCCACCCATGCAGCTAGGGTGTATAAACCGCTTATCCAGCTCTAAACACTCCCCTAAGCAGGACTGTGCTCAGTCTTCGTGAACTCAACAACACAGAGCTCATTTCCCGATCCAGCAGGTGGTGGAATCCTCGGGAGCTTCATGAGTGCACCTTAGACGTGCTCCACTGAGGATGAGAACCTCCCGCTAACTCAGGGCAGCAGTAGCTTAAAGACCACACTGAGAACCTAAGGCCCTGCCAGCCCAAAGCCCCGCTCAGAACAAGGGAAAGCTAGGAAGGGCCTACCGGGTTCCAGAGTGCCAACTGCCGCTCACTCATGCGGCTAAAGCCAGTCGTGAAGACATTGCCGTCGGCCAGGAAGATGGCGCGCATGGGCCGGGCTCCCTCGTGTGCTTTTTCCTTCTCCTGGGGAGGGGGCAGATGCAGATGTGATACCATCAGACAGCAACGTGGGAAGGCTGAGTGGGAAGCCCACACTGGGAGCCAGCATTCCTGCCCTGCCCCCCAAAGCCCAGCAGGCCATTCCATGTTCCCTGAGCAGGACTCAAGGCCATGGTTAACAACCGCCCCCATATGAGGAAGAAGTGACACTCAGTGACCTGGTCACAGCAGCAAGCAGAGCCCCAGACAGACTGAGGAGCCCCACTCCTACCACAGTCTGCTGCTGCCCCAGCCCACACGCCGCAGCCACAAAGCTCATGCAAGGCTCTGCCATACATGGTTCTCAAGAGGGTGACCTGCAGGCTGGGGCAGCCAACAGTGTCTCCAACATCACAGGAGACAAGGAAACTGTCCTAGCATTGTCTGGTGGATGAGGGTGGTTGAGGAGCCACCCCTGAAGATACTGGGTGGACAAACAGGGGCTGGAAAGCCCCTGTGGTGCATAAGCACTTGACATGATTGCTACCCAGCCCTAGACGGTGCCGATAAACATCACCACATCTCAGACAGCCTCAGAACACAGCTAAGGTGAGCTGCTCTTGGACTTCTCACCTGCAGCTGCAGCCTTGACATGTACACCTTCAGGCAGGATATGTGACTTTGTGGAAGCCCTGCTGGGTGGCAGACGCCGGGCACTAAGCTGACGGCAGGACCTGCTGCAGGTCTGCAGGGCAGCTGGATACTGTTCTGAGATGGGGTGGGCATCAACTAGAGAGCACCAGTGAGATTCCCAGACAGGTCACAGTTCGTCTGAGCTCACCCAGACCTGAAAACTCCTAAGGGCGTCATGAGCCGTTCCATACCCCTGTGGTACCAGCACTCAGGAGGCAGAGCCTGGCACATCTCTGTGAGTTCCAGGCTAGCCAGGGTTATACAGTGGGATATACCGCCATGAAGGGACAGAGCTGAGCCAAGGCTGAAATGACTGGAGAGAAGAGAGACACTGTGGTTTGAGAGCACCAGCCCTCGAAGCAGAGTCCAGGTTTATTGATCGGCTACCAGGGCTGTGCTAAGGCCACTCACCGCCACGATCTCCTGTTTCCTGGGGTCGATGACTCTCACTTTCTTGTCTTTGGACGCGGTGCAAATGAGGCTACCGTTGCGGTTCCAGCTCACGTTGTAAATCATATCTGAATGCATATCGTCCAAGTTGATGAGGGCCTCCCCCGTGCCCACGTTCCAGATGATAATGGCGTTATCGCATCCTGCACCAAGCAGATCGACCACAAGGTGAGAAGGGCCCGCACAGCTTATCAGAGAAAGCTGCAAGCCCCACGGGGACACAAAGGCAGGGAAGGGAGGTGCAGATGACAAGGGCCTCCCTGGCAGGAGGCAGGAGTGACAGGATTTGTGTAAAGAAACATTTTTAAAGCAACACAAAACCACCAGTCAACCCAAACGAGAACCACACCAAAGCCAAAGCCTCGCTGTTTAGAGTCGGCTGGACGCACACCTGTCACCCCCCCCACACACACACAGGCGAGCCAGCCCGCTGGCGCCTACCTGCGCTAAGAAGCACGTTGCGGGCTGTCGGATGCCAGGCGACGATGCCAACTCTTTTCGAGTGACCTTCTAAAATCACCACAGGTTCGGTCAGGGAAAGGGTCAGTCCATTTTCTGGGATCTGCCAAACCTGTTGGAAAAGGAAGGAGATTATCGGTCTGAAAGCCACCTGTCACACTTCACTTCCGGGTCACCGTGGCCACCCAGTGGCACTGGGGTAAAAGGCACAAGGAAGTGACAGTCTTAAAAATGGACATATATGGGTCTGGAGAGACGGCTCAGTGGTCAAGAGCACTGGCTGCTCTTCCAAAGGACCTGGGTTCCATTCCCAGCACCCACATGGTGGCTCACAGCCATCTATAGTGGGGTCTGGTGCCCTCTTCTGGCATGGAGACTTACATGAAGATAGAACACTCATCCACATCAGATAGATAGATAGATAGATAGATAGATAGATAGATAGATAGTTTTTTTTTTTAAGATTTATTTATTTATTATGTATACAGCATGTATGACCAGAAGAGGGAGCCAGATCTCATTAGGTGGTTGTGAGCCACCATGTGGTTGCTGGGAATTGAACTCAGGACCTCTGGAAGAGCAGTCAGTGCTCTTAACCTCTGAGCCATCTCTCCAGCCCAGATAGATAGTTTTTAAGGTGTGGCTATACTAAGGACTTGATAACTTTGTGTTTCTTCATTTGGGACCTGCCAGCCAATGGGGTCCTCAGAAGCACAGGTTGTTCATTCTGACTGAATCCTGTTCTCTTTTCTCTTCAAGTGAGATTTTCTTTCTGTAGTGTGGTAGAGGTATTTCCACCACTCCAGTGTAAAGCAGAGCCTGTGTTTACACCATTCATCCAGCAGAGGGCTTCCTCGGTGCTTCTTTGGGGGATCAGTCACTTTGTCCTTTTCTCTCCATAGTTCACCTGCTACCCACTGTGTAGTTTAACTATCATATACTAAAGGTCATGGGGGTCACCACGTCCAGTCTCACATTCCTTTCTGAAATGGTGAAACTATTCTAAAATTTGTGTTGGTGGCTGTATGGATTCATGAACATATTAAAAATCACTGAGCCAGGCCTGGTGGCACTACCTTTAATCCCAGCACTCAGGAGTCAGAGGAAAGCGGATCTCTGTGAGTTCGAGGCCAGCCTGGTCTACAGAGAGAGTTCCAGGACAGCCAGGGCTACACAGAGAAACCCTGTCTCGAAAAACCAAAAAAGAAAAAAGAAAAATCACTGAATTGGACTCCCCACCCCACCCCTGCTCCCCCATCTGAGACAGGGTTTCTGGAACTTGCTCTGTAGACCAGGCTGGCCTCGAACTCACAGAGATCCACCTGCCTCTGCCTCCAATGTGCTGGGATTAAAGGTGCATGATATCACTGCCTGGCTTGCATTGCACATTTTAAATGAGCAAATTCTCTATAAATTATATCTTTAAAAGAAACCTTACTTGCTGCTGCTGCCATTGTGTGTATGTGTACACACATGCATGCACGCATACCAGAATGGTGCATGTAGAGGTCAGAGGACACCTTTCTAGAGTTGCTTCTTTTCTTCCACCTTGTGTGGGTTCCAGGGACTGAACTCACATCATTAGGCTCACAGGGCAAGTGCCGTTCGTTACCTGCTGAGCTATCCTGTTGGCCCCATTAATTATATTGTAACAAGGTGTATGTTTAAAAAAAAACAACAACCCTCTGGGTGCTGGAGACCGCCCTGTGAGTGAGAGTGCTAGCCATGCAGGAGAATCTTGAGTTTGGGCCAGGCATGACTGGGCATGCCTAGAATTCCAGTATTGGTTGGGGTGGGGCATAGAGAAGAGGACTCTGAGAGCTCATGGGCCAGTCACTTGGCCCTGCCACACCTGTGAGCTCTGGACTCAGTGAGGACACTGAGTCAGAAGGTGGTGACATGGACAGCAACAGAGGAGGGCACCTGCGTTCTTGCCCTGGTCAACATTATTGGGAAATGTGCACCCACTATACACGGGCACACATGCCCACACCCGCTGGCTGACGGTCACAGGCAGGAGGAGAAGGAGGAACGCAGCAGAGAGAGAAAGAAGACTCAATGTAAAACAGGAAGGGAGGGAGCTCTGTCCTGTTTTAGAGTCTTGCTACGTAGCCCAGCCTGGCATCAAATTCCAAACAACCCTCCCCACCTGAGCCTCCCTCCGAGTGCCAAGATCACAAGCCTGAGCCACAGGACAGCAGGTGAAGAAGGAGGTTTAGAGCCCTAGAGAGCACTGTCAGATGGCATCTACTCCAGAAAAGTGAAGTTCAGAGCAGCGATCCTGTCAAAACCCAGATGCTCTTAGAGAGCGGCCTGCACTCTCCCGGCCAGCCATCTCTCCGGCCACCTCCCATTTAGAGTGAAGACTGAAAGGAGCAAGCTTACCATCCTGAAAAGACTGGAAGGGCACAGTTCAGCAAAGCTGGAGCTTTTAGGGACACTTTACATTTGCAGTGGAGCAAGTGTGAGGAAGGGTGGCCTTAGGGGCAGACAACTGTCTGGTTTCAGTTGTGTGGCACCAGGGGAGAGCTGGGGTAGGTGAGTGTATGAGGTTCAGCTCAGCTGCTGCCTTACAAAAGTGCCAACAACAGTTTGCCACCCTGGAAGACGAGCAAATGTAGTGGGTGATTCACTCACTGTCATAGCTGGTTCCACTCGTAAACATAACCTCTCCTGGAGATCACAGGAAAATAAAGCAAGCCCTTGAGGCTCAAGCCTAGAGGTCACCTAACGTTCCACCCCGGCTCCCACCACTTAGCCAAGCTTACGCAGGCAGCTGAGGCCAGCAGAGAAGACAGGGTAACAGCATGCCTTGCCTCACTCCTCCCTGGCCAGACAGGTCTGCTCCCTTGGGGTGCGGGGGCAACTGCTTACTCTCCAGTAGGACAGTGTGCTTTCATTCTAATACACAATTTTTATTTTTAATAAAACTAAAAGGTTTATGATTAGCCAAACAGCTCTGGGTTGAACCTGGTTGTCTGAGTATAATCAGGATTGGAACCGTCAAGAGAACACACAGGAAACAATGGTTGTTACTTGGATGAAAGCGTGAAGTTGGCAGAGACAGACATGAAAACTGGTTACTCAAAGGGTACTCATTTTTTCAAGACGCATCTGACCCAAGCTTCTAACTAACTGCAGGTGTGGTAGCACCATGTACTAGCTCCAGATGGCACCCTCGCCTCAGCCTGCTGGGATCCCCAGGGTCTGCAGCAGTGAGCTTCATAAATCCTGATGCATGGCAGGCTCTGGGTATCACCAGCATTTCCACCCTGGAATACAGGAGCAGCCGGGGTCAGCAGGGCCTTCGCTCTCTCTACTTCTCCTTCACCATCTCTTGCTTGAGTGGAGAGGAAATGTCAACAATGAAAACAAAACGTCAATTATATGACAGAGTTTAAACCTGTCCACACTGGACTTTGGGCAGACTCATGGCTCTCCATCAGGCAGGAGATGCACTAGACCAGGCAGGCACCTTTCCTTTTACTCCTGGTCCACACACATGCAGCATTTACTGAGGAGCCACCACAGAGCAGGTCTCAACTGGTGATTTCATGGGCCCCACTCTAGGATTCAACGGCTGAACAAGAAACTGCGCTTTCCAATAGACAGACAACCAGAGACAGCAAACGGAAGTGGTAGGATATGGAAGGCGCTGGAGCTAGATGAGTTCAAATCACATAAACGTGCTACAAATGTAGACTGCCCACCGCAGTGGGCTCCAGCTGGACTGAGGGTGTCCACTAACGTGACCTTGAGGTTTGCACTGACCTAGGGTGATGGTGGAGGGTGGGTTGGTTCATGGTGACATAAACCAACACATTTAGGATGATGCAGAAACGCTGTAACATCAGTTAGGTTCATCCCTCATATTATTCACAGAGCCCAGTGTGACCAGTGCTGTGCTGCCATAAGTAGGTGTTGACTGAAAAGGCAAGCGTCACCAGCACCACACCACACAAGCTGGTCCATCCAGGAGCTGCTGAAGAGATGACCTCTAAGAATGAAAAGGAGCAGGCGAACAGAAGAACAAAGGAGATCAAGTGGCCAGTTTCAAAAGAAACACCACAAATGCACACAGCAATTTTCTAAAAAGCATCTAAACAATGCCTTGGAGAGGCTGGCTGAGGGGCCAGCAGAGAAAGGAACCAGTCAAGACTATAACGGCACAGACTCTGTCAGCTGAAGGAGTGTCTGGGAAAGTCTGTGAAACAAAATGCAACTACACCAGGACCAGTGCGTTGATGAGAATAAACAGTGCTCTCGCCGTGAACTGTGGGAAAGAGCTGTGTGTCTTCCCACACTCAGCACACCCTCTGGCTGGCGCTGCAGGCCCTGCTCACGGGCTGTCATTATCTGGCTCTCTGCCCAGAGGGTGCCTGCTACTTCTGGTAATGGCCTGTCAATGTGGAGTGAAGGTCTTGCTTCCCGGGGACAAAGAGCATAAGTGCCACTCTATGCCTGAGTCTTATGCACAAGCTGGCACTCTGGCCTGGGCCTCTGGGGCTAGGATGCTAATTAGCCATGTTAGCACTAAACTCTTCGCTGCTGGGAGCCAAACTCCTTGTTTATCCTGAGGGAGCATGGGCTGTGCTTACAGAGGGTTCTGGAAAGGTCAACTGAGCTGAGGCTCTGCACAGTATTACCCTAATAGGAAACTGCTCATGGGGAGGGACAATGGCCCTGGAGCTGGAAAGCCTGTGTCCCCAACACTGCCCTCCTCAGCCTCTGACACCTCTGACAAACCGCGCTCGTGTGAGCCCGAGTTTCCATGTCACACGACGGGTGCTGTCCCTGCCTCCCTGTCCCTGCCTCCCCTACGCTACTTCAGTGATCGAATACAAGCATGTACATCTACCCGCCAGGCACAAGGCGCTTGCTGCGGTTCCTGACTGCACCTCTTCCCTCCTGTGACCACACACACTTTTAGGTTTGAACACTGTGACTTCTGAAAGGAATCTTGTCTTATACTGAACTAATTAGTACCCACTTACACCCAACATGCCCTACGTGTGAAAGCCCTTGTTTATTTATGCCTGGGACACTTAGTGCTCGCGCTGTCTGGCAGGCTGGTGAGCTTTTCTCTGCTCTGTGTCTACAGACTGGAACCCC